AACACCAATCACAATCACAAAAAGAGGGAAAATAACATATTATCACTACTTAAAAATAAGAATGTTTACATGTTGTGAACGTTCACATCATTACATTAGACGAGAGAGAATTTTTCAAAAAGGTGTTCTGAACGTCTACATCAGATAAGAAGGAATTCTCAGGGCGTTGAAGCCATTAAAGAACTTTCTGGAAAGGTGTTCATTTTATAAGATTATCAAAATTTTTAGTAAGTTTGATGAAAATGGAGCTTTTTTGGTTTAGGGTTTAGAGATATTAACAACATTAAAATTTGATAAAAAGGGAGCTTTTTTGATTTAGGGTATAGACATATCAACATTAAATATAAGGATGTAAGAGCCTAAGAAAAAGTGTAAATCAAGAAAAAGAACTTTATGCAATAAAAGTATACATATATGGGACTAAGTGGGTTAAAAAATTCCTTCTTAGACTTCTTGGGTTAGAACACTTCTAAATAGGATTCATCAATAAAAATCCCTACTTTAGGTTTTAATTATATTTTACTAATTCTTCTTTTAATTTAACTATTATTTTTAATATCAAAAAGAGTATTTACTTTATTATTTTATAATTTAATATATATCATATAAAATTAGTATATGATAATTACCCTTTTATAATACAATAGAACTAAAATTAATATCTATAAGTATTCAAGTAACAATTTTATAAAATGATAGCACCAATATTATCAAAATAAATAATTAAAATTATTTTTGATAACACATTATACCATGAAATATTGGGTTGCTTACTTGGAATAACATTTTGATTCAGCTTATGGTGAACGGCTGGTTTGTTATACATTTGTTAGACATTTGTTGGTGTTGAAGTTGTAAGACATTATTTATAGAGCATTGCTTTTGAAGATTAAAAAAAATTAGATTTAAATTTCAAATTTAATGTGACAGTCAATTATGATATTAAATTCAACACTCTTTTTTATATTTTCTCTAATCATCAACCAATCATATCATTTGCACATCATTTGGTCTAGAAAATGACTATACAAAGTGGTTTATATATCATTTTCTTATTTATAAGGTAAATTATACTAATCTCAATGTGATTATAAGGTAAATTATACTAATCTCAATGTGAAAAAATATATATAATAAGTTTTAAAATTTTAATATAATTATATTAAGATTTTTTAGAGTTGTAATTCATTAATTATGTAGTTAGAAAAATGATATTTTTAATTGTTTTATACCAAAATATATATTTTGTCTTCTTTTTTTTATTTTTTTTCTTACATCATCTGCATTAATTTAAATTATTTTAATTTTATTAAAGAAAAATCAATAAAATTCTGTCAAAATTGTAAAACTAATATATCCTCTCTAATTTTGAAGTGAAGTTAATGCAATTTTCTATTATTATCATCACTACATATATGTCGTAAATATACCAACTTGGATTTTGATTATTCTTAGGCTTTGGCTCTTCTCTTTGACTAAAAAATATAAAAATAAATATTTAATTATGTTAAAAAGTTTAACACGACACTTAACCACCAAATTTACAAGTTTAACAACTACAAATATAAAGTCCACTCATCATTATAGAGAATATCTCCAAAACAAAGTAAAATGATATTATAAATCAAATATTACTGAGCCACATCAATATCAATGTATGGCTCCGTTTGGCCAGAGCTAAACGGGATTTTTTTGGTTATTTTAGTCACAAAAAATAAAATAGACTATTTTAGCCACAAAAAATAAAATATCACATCCAACCCATAATTATTATATTCTTCTCTCATAAAAAAAGCCAAAAAAGCCAAAAAATCAAAAAACTCTTCCCAAACCAAACTTTTTAACCCAGACTAAAATAGCCAAAAAAATCAAAAAACCAACACACTTTCCAAACGGAGGCTATATAGTATTGTGATTGATTTTTTAAATTTAAGATTTCTGAGTTTATCTGTTATTAAATATATTGAGGCCTCTTTTGGTAATTACACATTATAATCTAAAGGTCAAAAAAGAGTTTAAAAAGTCAACAAATACCAAAAAATTAAATATTCATTTTCATTCACTTTACTTTTTTTTCACGTATGCTCATAAAAAAAATTAAAAACTCATCCAAAATATATTAATTTTTTTCATCTTATAATTTAGTTAAAAAAACTTATTTCCAAATGATCCTTAAATTTAAGATTTCAAAAGCAACACAAATGAAATTATAAATCAAATATCAGCGACCCACATCAACATGGATATATAATTCTGTGACTGATCTTTCTCTACATATATAAAAAAGTGATATATAGTTGAACAATTTAATTCCTTTGAATAATAATGTGATTTTTGACAAACGATACCAACAACAAACAAGATGAATGTTTGAAGCAGTGTGTTCCACAGATTCAACCAAACAATGATAATAATAGTATAATACTTAAAACTCTTGACAAGGAAAGGAATTGCCAATTTTGAATTTGAATAAATAAAAATATTATATTAAACTAATAGTAAGAATTGGATACCAAATGATTCTCGTTGTCGCCAAGGACAAATCCATCAATTTTTGTACAGAAAGACAGAGGAGTCTTCTTGGTGAATCTGCTACGGCTTCGACTACACAGTTAACCACCGCAAGGGTTGTTAGCGCCCACCACGTGCATTCCCCCTTTGTAAAACTTTTTTTTTTTTTTTCAATTTTTAAAAATAATTTTTAAATTTTCAATTCATGTTTGTTTTATTTTATTTTATTTTTTTGTTTATTTCTTAATAATAACGTGTCAAAAAATTAATTAAAATAGTTAATTTTTAAAACAACCAAAAACATGTATAATCTTTCAAAAACAAAATAAAATAAGAATTTGTGATATAGAATTTACCCAAAAATCGATATGTATGGAAGAGATTTAATTGATAAAATGTGGAGTCTTATACGAAATGAATTTGAGCTATTGATGTGAAATTTTAGATAATTTTTAAGTTTTTATGTCTGGAACGATATCATTATTATAGAAGTTCGAAAATTAGACCAAATTTTTAAGTATAATTATGTAACAATAAATTAGAATATTTAAAATGGCACATTCTCTTATATCTTCTTAATGATCAATTAATTATTTTATTTACGCATGATTTAATTAAAAAAAAAAAAGTATAAGAAGTAGACTTGTCATTTTTCCTAGTGAAAATGTTAACATGTGGAAGATCCTAGTTGTTAGCATTTGTCCCCGAGTAAATAAATGACCGGCAAATTAGGTAATCACTCCTCTATTTGTGGAATTGAGATCCTCTCCAGCCACTCTCTACTACCCTCCCTCCTTGCAATGGTCCAAATTCACCCAAGAGAGGATCTAACGGTCCAGATCATTTTATTAAAAAATAAAAAATTAAATTTATTTTTTTATTAAAAAAAATAAAATAAAAATTAATTAATTTTTTAATTATCTTACATTTATTTCAGAATTTTTTAAGAATTAATTAGTTTAATTGATTTTATAATTAAAAAAATAAAAAAAAATAATTAATTTTTTAATAATGACTTCTTAATTTTTAATTTTTTTTAATATGTTCCAAACATACCCATTTCTCTGTATCTCTCTCTTCTCTCCCCATTTTTGGAAAAAGTTAATTAACTTTCGTCAGTCGTTGGAAACAGCAGTGAACAATTTTCTTATATATACAAGTAAAGCCTGTTCTAAAAAATTTTGTTTGTGTGCTTCGAAGCTCAATACTTGGCTTTCTGTGTTTTCACTTTGTCAAGGTGAGTCTTTGATTCCTTTCTCTCACGGGTCTTTCTTGTTTTGCTCGTTTTAGTCCTTCCCAGTTTGCATGTGTTTTTTGTTAAAAAAAACACAAATTTTATTTGATGACCCATTTCTGAAAATGATGAGGGATTTTTGAGCTTTTTATTGATTTTTGTTTTTTAAAAACACGAAAAACAAAAACAAATTAAACAGCCCTCGTCTTCCTTGCACCAATCTTTTTTCAGGATCTCTGTTTCTGCATTTCGTTTGCAGTCTTAAAACTTGCAGGGGTACGATGATTTACTTACAACTTTTTTACGTTTTTTTTGTCTCCTTTTTTTTTTTTTTTTATAAATATTTTAATTACTGGTACTAATGCAAATCATATGTTATTTTCTTTTGAAATCTCGGCATCATTTGAGTTTTTGAGGACGGCATGAGTCAACTTATATTCTGATGAAAAGCCCAAGACCTTTGAATCTACAATACCCTTTTTCTTTTTTTTTTTGTTGCCGATGTTGGATTCCCTTTCCTTTTTGTGTTGTTAAAGTTCAAGCTGTACATGATTGTCTATATCTCCTTCAAAAGTGTGTGTGGATCTTAGTGTCTCCAGTAAAGCAGGTGTCATAATTTGGTTTGGTCATTCTCTCTCGCTCTCAATGTCCCTTTTTGTTTTTGCTGTTGATGTTTTTAAATGTCCTTTTAAAGTCATTAATTTTGTATTAATTGTTTAGTTTCTGCATATTTGATTCAGGGTTTTGTTCATGCTAAATGGTGATTGTCTGTGTTTGTGAATTATATTTCAACAAGTTTTACTCATAAAATAAGAAGAAAAGAAATGAAAGAAAAAAATTGAATTTTAACTCTAATAACGTGCTGCTTTTGTTTTTCATTTTCATTTTTCGTGTTTTTGGAAGCAAAATAATAAAAAGTTAAAATAACCTAGAATTTCCATGTTGTTTTTGTTTTTGTGAGAAAATAATTTTTGAAAAATGAAAACAATTTTTTATTACTTCCTAAAAAGTTAGGTGTTTTTTCGAAATTTCATTGAAAACAGTTTTCTGTGTTTTGGGGAATATTAAAACAGAAAATCAAAACACAATCAAACAGGCTATCCCTTTTAGTACAATTTTACAGTATTTTCGTGGAAAGATATTTATATTTTTATTTCAATTTCCCCCCTTCGCAGAACTAGGCAATGAAGATTGGAGAGAGTGAAGCATAGAAGAAAGTACATTTTTTGTGGTGGTTTGGCATAAGTTTGTGAACATGTCTTCTGCCTCTTGGATCACTTCCTTTTCATGCTCAAGCTCTGTGATTCAATCTGTAGAGGACACATCTATTTTACCCATTTTTCAATGGCTAAGATTCATCTTCCTCTCACCATGTCCTCAAAGGATTGTCCTATCTTCTGTCGATATCCTGTTTTTGTTTGCCGTCCTGTTGTTTTCAATTCATAAGCTCTATTCTAGATTCGTTTCCAATAGCCGCCCTGATCCTGACATAAGCAAGCCTCTTGTTAGAAACAATAGAGCTGTTCTTGGAACTAATCTGTGGTTTAAGCTGTCTCTGATTGTGACAGTTCTATTCGCATTTTCCTACACTGTTTTATCCATTCTAGCCTTTTGTAGAAATGCTCAGTTGCCAGAGAAGCTAGTGGATGGAATATTTTGGTTAATTCAAGCAATAACTCATGCGGTGATTACTATATTGATTGTCCATGAGAAGAGGTTCCAAGTCATCACTCATCCATTGTTGCTTAGAGTTTACTGGGTTGCAAACTTCGTCGTCATTACTTTGTTCACCGTTTCTGGGATTGTTCGTCTAATCTCTGTTGGCGAACCTGATCCTGTTTTGTTGCTGGATGATGTAATTTCATTCGTTAGTTTGCCGTTATCAATTGTACTTCTTATTGTTGCCTTAAGAGGATCAACTGGAATTATTGTGAGAAGAGAATCAGATTCAGAAATGGATGTAGAAGACAAATTGTACGAACCCCTATTGGACAAATCCAAAATAACTGGCTTTGCCAATGCTTCTATCATCTCCAAAGCGTTTCTGCTTTGGATGAATCCCTTATTACGTAAAGGTTATAAATCTCCCCTGAAGGCTGATGATATCCCAACACTTTCACCGGTCCATAGAGCTGAACGAATGTCTCAGTTCTTTGAATTGAATTGGCCAAAGCCTCATGAAAAATCAAACCACCCTGTGCGAACCACATTGCTTCGGTGCTTCTGGAAGGAAATTGCCTTCACTGCCTTCCTGGCAATTGTCCGGCTTTGTGTCATGTTCGTGGGGCCTGTTCTCATCCAAGGATTCGTTGATTTCACCTCTGGGAAAGGGAACTCCCCCTATGAAGGATACTACCTTGTCATTACTCTCCTCCTTGCCAAATTTGTGGAAGTTTTGACCTCACACCAATTCAACTTCAATTCTCAAAAGCTTGGAATGCTCATTCGATCCACCCTTGTGACTTCTTTATACCAGAAAGGCTTGAGGCTGTCATGTTCGGCTAGACAGGCTCATGGGGTTGGACAGATTGTGAATTATATGGCTGTAGATGCTCAGCAGCTCTCTGATATGATGCTGCAGCTACATGCCATATGGCTTATGCCATTGCAAGTTACTGTCGCTTTAATACTTCTATCTCGTTATCTTGGTTCCGCAACAATTACAACTCTGGTTGGAATTATAGCAGTTTTGTTGTTTGTATTGTTGGGCACAAGACGAAACAACAGATTCCAACGCAATGTGATGAAAAATCGGGATTCAAGAATGAAGGCCACGAACGAGATGCTTAATTACATGCGTGTAATCAAGTTCCAGGCTTGGGAAGAACACTTTAACAAGAGAATTCAAACTTTCCGTGAATCAGAATTCGGGTGGCTATCCAAGTTTATGTACTCGATATCTGGCAATATCGTTGTTATGTGGAGCACCCCAGTGCTTGTATCTGCCATCACCTTTGGTACTGCAATTTTGATAGGGATTCCTCTTGATGCAGGGACTGTTTTCACTGCAACAACAATCTTTAGGATTCTTCAGGAACCAATCAGGACATTCCCTCAGTCTATGATCTCAATCTCACAAGCAATGATCTCACTGGATAGGTTGGACAAGTTTATGACAAGTAAGGAGCTGGTTGAAAAGTCGGTGGAGAGAGAGGAAGGTTGTGGTGGTAGGATTGCAGTGGAGGTGAAAAATGGGAATTTTAGCTGGGATGATGAAGGTGGGGAAACAATGGTAAAAAATTTGAATTTGGAGATCAAAAAAGGGGAGCTTGCAGCTATCGTTGGGACTGTTGGATCAGGGAAATCTTCCCTCCTGTCCTCAATTCTTGGCGAGATGCACAAAATATCAGGAAAGGTATGAATTTTCATGTTGAAATTTTTGGTGTTCATCTTTCATTGCTTTACATAAATGAAGTTTTTGTAGTTAGTTGTCATCGCTATTCTATGCGGTGTGTTTCTTTATCTTCCAATGTTTTATATGTTTTTATGCATAAAATATTTGAAGAATGTATAAATTCTATGCCCTTATGTAGATATCTTCAATTCCAAAAGTTTCAATATTTATTTGGCCACCAAAAGATTTATATTGAGAGGATAATTTCATAACTCTATAGCTGCTTTTACTCTTTAACAGGTCAAGGTTTGTGGCACCACTGCCTATGTTGCGCAAACATCATGGATTCAAAATGGGACAATTCAAGAGAACATCTTGTTTGGTTTACCAATGGATAGAGAGAGGTACAGGGAAGCCGTTAGGGTCTGCTGCTTGGAGAAAGACTTGGAAATGATGGAGTTTGGAGATCAAACTGAAATTGGAGAGCGTGGCATCAACCTCAGTGGTGGCCAGAAGCAGCGGATACAACTTGCTAGAGCTGTTTATCAGGATTGTGACATCTATCTTCTTGATGATGTATTCAGTGCGGTTGATGCTCACACTGGGTCTGAAATATTCAAGGTGACAATATTGGTTACAGCATTTCTGAGAAAAACCATATATTTTCTTTCTAGTTTAAGCATTCTATTGAGATGACACAATTCATTTTGATACAAATTTGGTTGTGGAGATAGTTTCATCTTTGAAAGCGATGTCATTGGCAAAAGCTGTTGATAATTAGATACTATCATAAGAAACCTGAAAGACTTGAAAAATGTTTGAAAACTATGAAATCTATTGCTAAATTCTATTTTGTTTCATTTTCGAAAACAATCCCTTGATGTGTGGTAAGTTTTGGATGTGTATCATATGCCTCTGCTTGCCAATGCTTTTATACATTCTGTGCTAATGTGCATGAAATTCTATTGATTTTGTATAAATATTCTGCTTAATGTCTGTACTCCGCTCAAAATGCTGCTGTTGAAGAAACTTAAAATTTTATCATGCTTGTTTGGCAGGAATGTGTGAGGGGTGCTCTCAAAGACAAGACAATTCTACTTGTGACTCACCAAGTTGACTTCTTGCACAATGTTGATCTTATCTTAGTAAGTAGGATTCATTATTGAAAAATATATATATATATATATATATATGTATATATATTTTTTTAGTTTCTGTCTAAAATATTGGCTTTTTAACATTTGAAAACCAGGTCATGCGAGATGGGATGGTTGTGCAATCAGGAAAGTACAATGATCTTCTGGAGTCTGGCTTGGATTTCAAAGCACTGGTAACTGCTCATGAAACCTCCATGGAACTTGTAGACGTGGAAACTAACATGTCCAGTGAAGATTCCCCCAAAACACAAAAAGTTTCCCGGGCATTTTCTGACCACGGGGAAGCAAATGGTGAAGACAATTCCTTGGAACGATCCAATTCCGATAGGGGAACTTCTAAACTCATTAAAGAAGAAGAGAGAGAAACTGGCAAAGTCAGCTTAGATGTTTACAAACAATATTGCACCGAGGCTTATGGGTGGTGGGGTGTAGCAATGGTATTGATAATGTCATTAGTGTGGCAATCTTCTCTAATGGCGAGTGATTATTGGTTGGCATATGAAACTTCAGAAGACCGGTTATTCAACCCATCTCTATTTATTAGCGTCTATTCAATTATTGCGGCGATTTCAATAGTGCTAATAACGATAAGAGCATTTTTGGTTACAATCGTTGGGCTTAAGACAGCTCAAATTTACTTCAAGCAAATTCTTCACAGCATCCTGCATGCTCCTATGTCATTCTTTGACACTACACCTTCTGGAAGAATCTTAAGTCGGGTAAAGATATGAACACCAAATTGAATACTTAAATTTTTATCTATATTTTGTCGTAGAGTATATATCGAGTTTTACTCCATATTGTGTATTAACAATATTATATTTCATCATGTAGGCATCAACAGATCAGACCAACATTGATCTCTTCCTTCCCTTCTTTTTGAGCATGACTATTGCCATGTACATCACAGTGCTCAGCATCATCATCATCACATGTCAGTATGCTTGGCCAACGATAATCCTTTTATTTCCACTTGGTTGGCTGAATTTCTGGTACCGGGTATGGGCATTGGTTTATCATTGCTGATTTGTTTATTTATTTATTTTTTTGCAATAGATTATTTCTGTAATAACTGTCAATATGATTTGTCACATACCATATTACCATCACCCAGTCCTGTTAATCTATAGATAGTTAAAATATTGAAGGAAAATTTGTTAAACCACTGAAAATTTAGTATTAGAGAATATGCAATTGGTGTTCCAAGGTGGGAACAAATTATAAAGTTTTCTTGATGATATCTTGAAATTTGAAAATTTTGAAATCTTAGACTTTGGGGCATGGTAGACTTCCAATATATCCTGCGTTAAAAACTAATATATGATAATATGTATATAAGAAATTAATCTTTAGATGTTTTTTTCAGCGATACTATCTAGCGACATCTCGTGAATTAACTCGACTCGATTCCATTACCAAAGCACCTGTGATTCATCACTTCTCAGAAAGCATATCTGGTGTTATGACAATTCGCTGTTTCAGGAAGCAGAATATGTTTTTCCAGGAGAATGTCAACAGAGTGAATGCAAATTTACGAATGGATTTCCACAATAATGGATCCAACGAGTGGTTGGGCTTTCGTTTGGAACTGATTGGAAGCTTCATCCTATGTGTTTCTGCAATGTTTTTGATCTTGCTGCCTAGCAATATCATAAGGCCAGGTAGTCATGTACTAAAATGGTTGGTGGTTTGATTTTCACGAGCCAATTACAATTAGCTTGTAATTAGATCACATGTGATGTTAGTGACTCTGTTTGTTTTTGTTTTTTGTGTTTTTGGCCTTTTTTAAAAGGTTACTTGATTGTCGAGTGCAGGAAACTGACCTGTATTGTATTGTGCAGAGAATGTTGGATTAACTCTCTCGTATGGCATGTCTCTCAACGGCATACTATTCTGGGCCATATATATGAGCTGCTTTGTGGAAAATAGAATGGTTTCTGTTGAAAGAATAAAACAGTTCATAAATATTCCCTCAGAAGCTGAATGGGGGAAACCAGATTGTCTACCCCCTCATAATTGGCCTACCCATGGCAATGTTGGGCTCAAGGATTTGCAGGTAACTTGCCTCGGGCCCATTTTCATTCATGTTTGTTAAGTTTGTTTCAATAAGCGTTTATTAGCATGATTTTGAGCTACATTATTAGCCCTTTCTGATAGAGATACTATATTGAACACGGTGAACAGGTTAGGTATCGGCCAAATACCCCTCTGGTTATTAAAGGCATTACTCTCAACATTCAAGGTGGAGAGAAGATTGGTGTAGTTGGTCGAACAGGGAGTGGAAAGTCAACTCTAATTCAGGTTTTCTTTAGGCTTGTGGAGCCTTCGGGAGGGAGAATAATCATTGATGGCATTGACATTTCAGTGCTAGGGCTTCATGATCTTAGGTCTCGCTTTGGGATCATTCCTCAAGAACCTGTCCTTTTTGAAGGAACTGTGAGAAGCAACATCGACCCAATTGGACTGTATTCAGATGAAGAGATATGGATGGTAAACATTCCATACCGAAGCATACACACTTGGACCTTTTCTTGTGATTTAACTGATTTGAGATTGATTTTCGTAGAGCCTTGAGCATTGCCAACTTAAAGACGTGGTGGCTGCAAAACCTGGAAAACTAGATTCACCAGGTAATAATATTCGTGCTTCATGAAAAGTCTGCACCTGAACTTGCTTCACTAGTTTCCTTTTACGGGTGAAGATAAATGTTTTATTTCTTTTTGGCTACTTCTTAGTTGTTGATAGTGGTGATAATTGGAGCGTGGGGCAGAGGCAGCTTCTCTGTTTGGGACGGGTAATGCTAAAGCATAGCCGGCTTTTGTTCATGGATGAGGCAACGGCTTCTGTTGATTCACAAACCGATGCTGTAATTCAAAAGATCATCCGAGAGGATTTTGCAGCCTGCACAATCATCAGCATTGCCCACAGAATACCAACTGTCATGGACTGTGATAGGGTTTTAGTTATAGATGCAGGTAAGTGTTCCTATCTTGCTTTCCTTATCCTTCATATATATATATATATATATATATATTTTTAAAAAAAAAAAAAATACCCATCTTCATTGTAAATTTGTCTGCAGCTTGGCAAAGTGAGAAAATAGATTTTCATTAGTAATGGTCGATTACATGAGTTTCATATCTGATGTTCATTTGCACTCTCTTTTACAGGATGGGCGAAAGAGTTCGACAAACCATCTCACTTGCTTGAGAGGCCCTCATTATTTGGGGCATTGGTTCAAGAGTATGCAAACCGCTCGTCGGGACTATGAGATATAAAAAAAAACCATACCGGTTTTTCCCTAAATTGCCTCGTGTGATTTTTGCTGCTCTGCTAATTTAGGAAATCTTCCTCACTGACAATAAAAGTCATACATTGCTTGTAGCAAAATTTCACAAATGTAGTGATAGAAACTATTCTTCCTTGTAGGTTGGATGTCTTCCATAATCACATTAAACATCCACATTAATCAGCAACCCCATGTTTAATGTTGCATATGATGCTGAGCATTGTATCAAACTTTTGTTCTTGCGTTAGATTTCTGAAGTCTTTTTTCCTTTGAAGCTGGTGATACGGGAGTTATGAATGTGATCATCTGCTAGTCTGTCCTTAAGTGCTCTAAGTTCTTGCGACAAAAGTGGGCAACTTTTTGTTGTCTTTTTGTTTTTTTGTTTTTTTTTTTTTAAAAAAAAATAAAATTTATGTGAAACTTTGTTGCTCCAGTGTAAAATTTGAAGATTAAGGTCAAGTTTGGGAAGACTAAATAAGTGTACTTTTTGACTTTTTTTGTATTATGTGTAGAAAAAATAGAGAGGAGATGTTGATTGATGTGACCCAAAAAAGATAAAAAGATGAAATAAGTGCACTTTTTTAGGTTAGCCAAACTTGGCCTAAGTGTATGTTTTTTAAAATGAGTTGTGAACTGTGATTTTCTTGTCACAATAATTGTTGAAAATTGAAGATTATTGTGAAACTTCACTGTATGTAAATTGAAGATTCACTTGTATGTTTTCTATTAAAAAGAATAAAAATTATTGTTACTTTTGCAATGAGTTGTGAACTGTGATTTTCTTTGGTTGAAATATCTTCACCCCTCTCCAATATTGGATTGTTTGTATTTTTATTAATAACAACGAAGTTCTTGTTATTAGCGCCCCCCCGCCCCACAAAAAAATAATAAATAAAATAAACAAATAAACAAATTTTTTGTGTGTAATTCCATCGTACAATGTGATAGTGCATGGATTCATGCCTATTATTCAAACTCTTATTAGAATCTAAAAAAATAAAAAATAAAAAATCTAAAGCTGTCAACGGCACCTTCTTGCAACCGTCTTAAAATATAAAATAAAAGATCAAAAATTTAATTATTATTATTTTTTACCATAAGTGTTTGCAATAATGGTGCTTGATTGGTTGACTATCTATGTCAATTAATATAATTTACTAAGGAAAAAGGAAATAACAGAAAAATAAATAGTAAAAAATTACCAAATTATTACAAATCGATGAAACATTAAAAATAATTACAATAAAGATGAGAAAATCAAAATCAATGGCAAAATTATAGTGTTGTAATAGATGATCTTGGCATGATAATGTACAACATGATTTAAAACATAGGAAAAAGACAATGGAAGAGAGAAAAATACAATGGCAAAGTAGTAATTTGAAAATTCTAAATTCCATGACTGTGTAATTAGTATCCAACTTTTCACTGGTTTTGCAATTTAATAATAAATAAAAAATGACATTTATACATGATAATACGGTTTTTGATGGTAGGACGGGTTAGACTGATCCACGCTCTTCACGCCTAATGTTCGAATGACCAAGCCCACCAAAGAACCTGCACAAGAGTTCAACGAGAAACGGGGAGTCCCCCAGCGAACCTTCCGATGAACAAGTTAGAGAGAGAGAGTGGAGTATGTAGATAGATTAGAGATAGAAAAGCTTAACCTTATTCTTGTCTTCAACGTTTGCTTATATCCTTTGGTAATCATTTCGTTGTCCCTTCTGGCCTGTCACCTTGGCCAAAAGTCTATGCTGTAGCTTACCTTGTTCAGGGTGAGGGCGTGCTGTCCCGACGGAGAGGTGTTGTCGTAATAAATGCAGTGAGGGGCTGCATTAATGGCGATGTGCAGTGGCAATAACTTTGCAGATCTTTGTCTATTGATGTGGCTTGCCCTTTACCTGCTACGTGTCTGAATACCATTGATCCTTCATGCCATGTTAACTTCCAGACGGTGCTGGGCCTTATCAGTTGGGTTATGTATTGGGCCCTAAGTGGTAGGTTTGGGCTGTTCATGGTGGGTTATAGCTTTTATGGGCCTACCCATGTCAGTAGTCCCCCATTCCCAAGTGCAGTTTTAGTCCAACCAAGGGAATAATGAGGAAGATGGCGGTCGAAAGTCGAGGGAAATGACGACCAACCGGAAGTGGCCGAGTGGAGGGACCGATTATGAGGAGGGCCGACCGCGAAGGGTGAGGTGGCGGGTTGCGGGCTTGAGAGGCAGTAGGTCACGTGATGATTTGAAATGGAAAAGACAGGGTAGGGGAAAGGTAGTAGTGAATCGTGGTCGTACACGTGGCAACATCTGGTGGGAGGAGGTCAGGCGTTGGGCCAGAAGTGAAACGATAGGTCATTATAGGGTGTTTTAAAAGACAGTGTTGGCGGTTTTTTTTTTTTTTTTTGAAAAATTTTCAAACTAGCGAAATTTAATAGGGACCCTTGGAATACGAGCAAACCTTGGGCCTTTGGGATTATTCACTTTACCTATCTTTTCGCAAAATATCAAAACATTCCCAGCGTAAACTCCTTCGTTGCCAACGATACACCCCTGCAACACGTTTGGAATTTTCTTGCGCCCGCATCCGAAGCTATTCGAAAACATACAATAGAGATGGCACAAGAGGAAGCAACCACCACAAGGGTTGATCCCCTAGGGGATGATGACGCGGTGGACCTGGCAGAATGATATAGGAGGGAGAGGCAAGTGGAGAAATCAGGGGAGCCGGCGGGTTTAGCTCATCCGTTGACGATGATAGCGGCTCCAAAACCAATCAGCCAGGCTGAGCCAGATCACTGGCATACGAAGGCTGACAAGTCAACCACTACGGCGGAGGAGTTAGAGGGTATACGGAAAAAATACCAGGTGCCTGAAGAAATAGAGTTGATGTTACCGACAGCAATGGAAACGCCATCCGACACCCGGCCGGGGGAGTTTGTCCTCTACGAGGAGGCGTTGAAGGGAGGGTTAAGGTTGCCGCTTCCCCAGGTGGTAGTGGATGTCCTCAACCGACTGGAAGTGGCGCCAGGCCAACTGATGCCCAACGCATGGAAGATTGTACTGGCCTGTACGAGTGCGTGGGCGAAGGCGAACGAGGGAGCGGCCATGACGGTGGACGAGTTTTTTGCCTGCTATAAGGCCTCGAGCCAGCAAGAAACTTGGGTCACTTTGCAGGTGGCAGCAGGAAGGGGTTTGGTGGCAGGGTTACCGTCATCAATTAAAGGATGGAAGTCGCGGTGGTTCTACGTATCTGCGAACGGCAGAATTGGAGTACGCACGATGTGGAGGATACCCACCAAGTCTATAGAGCCAAAGCTGGAGGCTGCAGCGGAGAAGAGGGTGAAAAAGGTGAAAGCATGGAGGAAGAAGAAGGGCGTCAGTTTGGATGACCTTGTTCAGCCGTCAGCCGACCAGTGGGGATCTGGCACCGGCAGAGCTTAAGGCGAAAAGAATAGTGCAAGAAGCGGAGGACCGAGATATTTTTGCCAAAGCCAATAAGTTCAAGGAAGCGCAGTTAGGCCTACCACCAAAATCAGTCGCGAGGGAAAGAATCCGACCACGCCCCAAGCCGTTGGGGGAAAAAGACTTGGGCAGTTTTGAGCTACGACCGGTTAACCAAGCCAGCGCCAACTGATAATACGATTTTTGATTGTAGGACGGGTTGGACTGATCCACGCTCTTTAAGCCTAATGTCCGAATAACCATGCCCACCAGAGAACCTGCACAAGAGTTCAACGGGGAACGAAGAATCCCCCAGCGAACCCTCCGACGAACAAGTTAGAGAGAGAGAGAGAGTGGAGTATGTAGATAGATTAGAGATAGAAAAGCTTAACCTTCTTCTTGTCTTCAACGTTTGCTTATATCCTTTGGTAATCATTTCGTTGTCCCTTCCGGCCTGTCACCTTGGCCAAAAGTCTATGCTGTAGCTTACCTTGTTCAGGGTAAGGGTGTGCTGTCCCGACGGAGAGGTGTTGTCGTAATAAATGCAGCGAGGTGCTGCATTAATGACGATGTGCAGTGGCAATAACTTTGCAGATCTTTGTTTGTTGATGTGGCTTGCCCTTTATCTGCCACGTGTCTGAATACCATTGGTCCTTCATGCCATGTTGACTTCTGGCCGATGCTGGGCCTTATCAGTTGGGTTTATGTATTGGGCCCCAAGTGGTAGGCTTAGGTTGTTCATGGTGGGTTATGGCTTTTATGGGCCTACCCACGTCAATACACAAGCTCTAATTTATGAACTTATACTCCATTAAATTCTAATTAAAATTTTTTAAACTTTTAAATCCCATTAAATTTTTAATTGTCGAAATTACCTTTCAAATAATGATTGTTCATCATTTATGATTATGGAGCAATTTGGAAACTTGGTACCAAGTTCTCCCATAAAAGCCACAAAAAAAGTTAGTTTTTTTGCTAAAAAAAAGCCATAAAAAAAGTCAAAAAACCAATTGAATTTTTTTTAAAAAAAAAAAACTAATTAGCGTGTTTGGTTTCAATTTTTTGAATTCAATTTTCTGAAAATTGAGTTTTTTATTTTTCGTATTTTTTTAGTGAATATTTTAAAAAATTTAAGCAATTTTTTTACTTTTTTTAATGCACTTGACTTAGATGTATCTAAAAAGTAAAATATTTATAAAAATATATTTTAAAAAATCAATAAATACATAATAATATGAAAATTTATTGAATTTTCAATTATTTTTTTTTGTATTTTTGGTATTTAGTGAATTTTTTAATAAAAATTCACAAATATTATATTTTTTAAGTATATTTATGTTAAGTGTATCTAAAAATTAAAAAAAAAATTCTTAAAATATTTTAAAAATTTAG